TTTGGGTGGATCAGAAGAATGCTTGAATTAGCTTCTGTAAAATGCAGACTGCATTGTAGGAATCTCTCTTTCAGTTTTCCCCCAATATACATTAATATACGATCTAGTGTTCTCTAAATGGAAAGTAGTTTTCAGGCAAGTGCAAGTGGGAAACTTCATGGCAATTGGAATAATCTGCCTTTAAACAAAGTAATATTCACTCTCACTTTTCTCCAAACACGTGCTCCGTTACAAGGCCCTGGAATCACACAGCAGGCAAACCCTCATTTTTCAATTTCATATATTAAGATGAAATTATTTGCTATAAATTTCCCACATTGCTTTATTTCCTCTGTATCTACTTCACACTTCTCAGAAATGAGCACATTTGACCATGGGTGTAGCTCTTCCCTAAAACTTCACTACTGAACATCACTATGCTGACCTCGGATTCCCATATGCAAGAAGCAGTGATGTATATAGTTAGCTATACCTCTAGTTACACTATTTTATGGCAGCCTGAGATTTAAATTTAGCAGTTCATGCTTCTGTCTCCTTCAGGCTAAAAGTCTGTTGCATGCACAAACTAAGGCTTTCTCTGAAGGTCATCAAGAATGTAAGAGTAGGAGAAAGAGCCAGCCAGTCATCTTCTAAGCAGAGATGAATGACAAAATCATATCACTATTGCATTTTAAACCAGTGTTTGCTAACAATTCCAGAGAGTTGCAAGGTTTAATTGGCAAATTAAAGAGTAAACATGTTTCTTCTGACAAGGAAAAAGAAGCAAAAATAAATAATAATGTTGTAGGCATCATTGTTGTCTGAGCTATCATTTTGACATCCAAAGACCAGGCAGGTTATGCTCTGGGATGGCTCAAACACTCATCCTAGATAAATCATGACAAGGAACTCTATTGAGTCAAAAGGGAACTTTGGTTTGATTCCTATTACCATTTAACAACAGAGAATGATTTTATTTACAAAGATGCTTCTCTTCAAAATGAAGGAATCAATGTATGCCTTAAAATTTGCTTTCAAATTGACTGACCTTTGGGACAAGAACCACATTCTAATGATAGTAAGACCTGTACATTAATTGCAATAATGAAATCTTTTAAGCACAGCAGTGCTTTAAAAAGCATAAATTTATGTTAGTTAGTCTAACAGTTTTATGTAAAATATTCTGATATCTGCATACATACATCATGATTAAAATGTCACACAGAACTACTAGGAGCATCAGACCTCTGCAGTGTAGTATTTTCCTGTAACCAATAAGAAAGTTGCTCTTAGCACTTTCTAAATAATTTTTTTGTATTAAAAAAATCCAAAAAGAAGGTTAAGCTATGCAAAGATTGAACAGCCACAGACAGTAGGTCTTAACAACAAGCCCCAATTAACTCAAAATATCAGGACCATTTCCAAGCAGGAATAAATGATATTTTGGTGTTTAATTATGTCTATATAATTATAGAATAAATCATGAGAAACAGCAGATTGCACAGGATGGGAAGCATAAGGAGACACACCCAACACAAATCTGAAGCAGAAAAATAATGATTAGCGTATTGACTTACTGCTGTTATTTATAATCAAATAGGAACAATAACCTCACAATCTCCAAAAAGAGTAATTACTGCAGAAGTTTCTCTCACTACAGATTAATATGCTTTTCTAAGACAGACTAACCAAAAGCTAGTTTTGGTTAACAAAGATAAACACACAAAAACTATAGATATTGTGAAGCTTCTAAATCAATTTTATATTAAAACCAGGAAAAACATTCACGAAGTAACTGATCTGTCCCACAATTGATGACAAACAACAAAGGGAACCTACTGCAGAGTCTCTACACGACACATAGTTTATTGTCCTTAACTATCCCCTCAGCACTGACCACTGCTATTCTACAACGAGAGCAGAGCTCTTTCCTGTGCAGTAAAGCCCATACTCTGAACATACAACTCTGCATCTATCACATTTGCTCATACTTGCAATAAATATTGCAGAAGTCTGGCCTGCTTTAACATTCCACCATTAGGGTTACCTAAATATACAAACTGGAGTTTTTGCAGTCTACACACACTTGTTCATAATGGATGCCTTTATTTTGAGGCAAAGATGATCACTAATCTTCCTCACTGCTCCCTCCAGCACCAAAAGAATAATTTAATTCTAACATCCAATAGATGATATAATAGCAGGAAAACCATACTAACGTGAGTGTGAGCATGCCCTTTTTACTCCATCCTCTTGTCTGTTTTAAGAGGTTTTCAAACAGAAGTAACAATTGAACTTGCTGGTAATGCTGATTACACAACTTCCCCAATTACCATCTATAAACCCATTAACTTGCATCTGATTAAAACACACTCTTTAAAAATGCATCTAATCCTAAATGGAAAGGATGAAGATAAGAAATTCAGCGTCTTCCTGGCAGTTTGTGCCAACAGCCAAAACCCACTGCTGAGAACAGCATGTCCTAGATCTTACAGATTTGAATCTTCTTACTTTGATGGTAATTTTTTTTAATGATGTGCAGAAATTGATCTAAGCCTATCACTGTAAGATATTTTCTCCATCTGTTACTGATATTGACTGTATCTCTTCTGCACTTGTTAGTATTTCAAGATACTTTTAAAAACAGAACTGGACATTACATTCAACTATCAGTTACACAAACAACATTCCCCCCTTGTCTTCATCATAAACTGACCAAAGTAATGGTAGGGATTTATTACACACACACATATTTATCAGTTTGTCATTGCATTAGACATTTATGCAGAAGTTCTTGTCAGAATTAGTTTTCTAGTAATTTAGAGGTTTTAGAAGACCTGTCTCCCTGAAATAAGAACCACCTAAACATCCTAAAATGCATTTGAAAAAACCCAAATTATAAAGCAATGCAGATCATTTGTCCTCTTTACCAATGATCTGTCACACAATCCAAATGTCACACACTCATTAGTAGTTTCACAGTTGCTCACAGATTGTTATTAAAAATATTTATCATCTTCAGGTTTGTAACTATTTCCTCTTTTCAAAGTGAAGCATCATTAATAACTGCACCTGGAAGTTTGCTTGAAGCAATTTAAAGTTACATCATACAGAATTATTTTTTTTTAAAATCTGATTGTAGCAATAAGTTGCATAATGACAAATGTTGTTTTCTAAAAAAAAGTATTTAACTTTTCTGGCCAGGTTTCTCAGAATTATTTTTGTTTAAGAACTTCTTAAAGGACAATTTTGATACTGGACTGTAATATATTAATACTGATTTTAAGGATATATACAAGACAAATCCACAAATCTTCGTTTTTCTTCAATCTGGCCTTTCTACTTTCCCCTGTGGCATCAACTTCCCTTCAAAAACTCCTATGTTTTCTTGCAATTTACGCTGCATTCATAAGCTATTAAGGTGGAGATTGAGAACGTAAAAGAGGCAAAAGGGAATTCTGACCCAAAACCAGCTGGAATCTTTGGAGTGAGTTACAGTGAGCAATAAAGCAGTGATGCACAGGGCAACAGCGCTAAGACAGTCCAAATTCACTGTTACCAAGGAAAAATGAGTATAACTGCTCCTTGGAAATAGAATACGAATATGACTAAGGACAAAAAAAAGTGGGCAATTTAAACAGCTCCATCTCACAACTGCTATAATATAAACTGCAATAATTCTGTTAGCAGAACCCACAAATAATATGCAGACTGAAGAGAAACAATTAGCAAGGTGGTTTGTACTTTTGAGATTGTTTCACACCAGCAAAGACATCATATCAGAAATTGGCTTTCCATTTCTTGCTCAAACTACTAAAGCAAATCCTGAATCAAACGTTGCACTGAGCTGTGTCACACAGTTAAATCAGATTCAGAAATAATACTTTAACAGAATGAAACAAATATGAAACGAAGGAAGATGAGTATTACTTTAGCATAACAGGCAGTAAATAAACAAAAACAAGGTAAGTTACATTTGTACAATTTTATCCCAAATAGTGAAAGTATTAGTCTGAAAGCTAAAGAATCTGTGAGACTTCCTGATACAAATTATTTTATTCTTATGAAAGAACTTAACTTTTATATACAATATTCCCTTATATGTACTATTATTTTTGATTCAGCATTTCAGTATTTAAAATATTGATATGTGTAAATATCACAAACATACTCCAGGGGAAACCTCTGCCTTTCTCTCTCTCTCTCTGCATGTTTATGTGCATATCCAATGACTATTGTAAAATAACAGCTGTTTCAAACATATGACACATGCACTACTAACCAGGATCAAATATTGCTGAATAAATATTAATTAATAAATATTGCACCAACTTGTAATTTTTTATGCTCAGAAATAATCTGAGCATGCAATGTTTAAAGAGTATTTTTCCCCTTACCAATAGTCTAATGTCAAGTTTCTTCACAACTCACCCTATATAGCATATATGAAGTTCCATACACATATAACACAGAGCAGTCCTGAAATATGTCACTTGCATAACAAATTGAAGGTTTTAAAACATTTTCTAAACATTTAGATTGGGAAGCAAATAATCAGAATAAATATATTCCTACACTGACTTAAAATTTCTAAATGTTGTATATTTGTGTTAAAATTTAGTCTGCGATTGATTCTGAAAGCGAATCCCACAATCTGAACAGCTTCCTTTCCCTTACAGTGCTGCAACAAGCAGTTGCAATGGTTAACAAAACTTTCACTTCTAGAAGGACTCTCTCGTCTGCTACTGGCAAAAGACTACATGAAAAACGTGTTTAGGGAGTCCTGCTAAAACTGTAATTCCCTGAGTCACAGGGAAAAGTCTTTTAGAAATTAAAGAAACATGATAACTTATAAATGACAGTTTCCCACTTTATCTAAACTTCCAGTTCCTTCTTACTGAATGAACCTCAAGAAAATTATTTCTCTTAGATCTTGACAACACAAAAATAACCAAATGCCCAGCATTTTCCAGAGATAGATAAAACCCTCCTCTCCAGGTGTAAGAGAAGGTTTCACATACCATTGACACATTCAAAGACATCACAGCACTTGCCAGGTGTTCCATCTCCACGTGAGACTATCTGGGGAACGGAGCCTGCCTCACACATGGGGAAACCACATAAACCAGTGAGACACTCGCATCTGAAACCAAAGAACAGCAAGGAAAACCCCATAAATAAATGAAGCCACATACAGGATGAAAGAATAAGCATGAGAAAATTGGAAAGTCAGAGGACAAGTTCCAGCTTTGCCATATTCACATCTTAGAATCACCTTTTATTAACTCAATCAAGACAGCTTATCAACCTGAAAGATTTTTTTTAACCATCCAAACTCTGTTTGCTGGTCAAGGAAACAAGAAGACAGTACTGTGTAACACCAATGCTGCTCTAGTGCTGTATGTAAAAATGTAGAAAACTATTTCCGGATTGTTTGAAAATAACTGTGTTCTCCAGAGTTCCAAAATTAGGCTTCTCATCCAATTCTATCTGAAAAAACACAATTGGTGAAACACTAATAGCAGTAATTGCATCCATTCATCAGAAGAGTGTGCTCTCATTAGCAAACCATATTATATGCAGTGTTATGCTGAAAAAAATTAAAGGAAGTCCAGAGCCATTAAATCTAAGCCAAATAAAAATAATTGCAAGTTCTCTTTTGGTGTTGATGGTGCTGCAGTTTGTGGAAGGGGCAACCAATTACATGTGATGTCAAATTATGTAGGAAGCTAGGTATATTACATACTGTGGTTAGTTTTGGACAATTCTAAAAAGATTATTTTCTCCATGTAGGTAGTATTTATTTGTTTATTTAAGAAAACAACTTAAGGAACTGGAAAATATAAAATGTAGATAAACAGTAATCACATTTGTTTCCAGATTCTTTGGTTTACAAGTAACATAACCATTTAAAAGTCAAACACTTAGGACTTTTGATAAGTTTACATTTAACAGAGTTCTTGCCCTGAACAATGGGCACACTACAAGGAAAGTAGCAATGGTTCTATAAGAAAGTGCAAGACAAAATGAACAAAGAGAAATATGCAAATATCATAGCTGAGAAACTTCATTGCATAGCACATTTTTCAATTGCAAATCGATTTTTATTGGCAAAACCTCCCCATAGACTGGTTTAGCCTACTATAAATACACATATATGTCAAATGGAAACAAAGAACTTGACAGAAGATCCTGTAATTATGAGTTAAAAAAATAAGAACTCTACTTGTTAATTTCTATTTCAAATATTTTAAGTATCCCAAGATAACCTGCTGTCATAGTTCTGATTTGAGAAAGGAATTTTTTCTTTTCCTTTCCCCTTCTTCCCCCTCCCCCCCTGCATGAATGCTATTCAAGAACCATCAAGTGAACAAAAGAGTCGGCCTGGCTCCTAACGACCGAGAATTAGTCTCCTGGCAACGACGGGGGAGGAGTTGGGAAGAAGGCGGAGTGGTTGGGAGCTTAGCTCGGGAGCAGGAGGGGAGGCTACAGCTGGCAGGGGGAGACTGCCTGGTTTCTCCTTTGTTCCTTTTTCCCTGTGGGAGCTCTCTGCAGAGTTACGGGCTGGTTGCAGTCTTGGTTCTTTTCCACCGCGGGACTTTCACCGAGTCGTGAGTTTTTTTTTCTTCCATTGGGAGAACTTTCTGTTTCCCTTCCCCCTCCCCCCTCCTCCCTTGCCACCCGGCGGAGACCGGGGATCCCGCGGCGCCGCCCGGTGACGGGCGCTGGACGTTGCAGGTTCCACTCCTCTAGTGGTCCGGCGGCGCCACCTGGTGACTACTGTGGAACATTGCAGGTTCTGCACTTTTGATGGCTCGGCAGCGCCACCTGGTGCAAGTTCTGCACTTTTGATGGCTCGGCGGCGCCACCTGGTGAACGGTGTAAGACATTGCAGGTTTTTGCATCTCCAGTGACGCGGCGGCGCCCCCTGCTGGCTGTGGCTGGGGCTGCACCGGAGAGTGCTGAGAGTTGAACTATTTGATTTTCTTTTTTTGCCGGTTTTATCGGTTTTGTTCTTGAGGGGGATTGTTGGTGGGTGTAGGGGTGTTGTTTGGTTGTTTTACTTGGTTTTTTTTTCCCTTCCTTTTTTTTCCCTCGTGTTGCGTTGATGCACGCATACTTAGTAGAGGGCTGTTGTTTTTCCTTTTTTCCCTTTTCCATGGTTTGCTTTCCTTCAATCGGAGCCTCTTAATTTCGAATCTGTGATTGCTGGAGAAGAGGGTTTGGGTCTTTTTCTCCTAATCCATCCTCGGCGGGGGACCCTTGTCTCAATTAAACTGAGACACCTGCCCATTAAACCACTTCTTAGTAAGAAGCATTATCAGCCCTTAATGCATTTGCTTATTCTTTATGCTCAAAAACTAAGAAGCTTGAGTCTCCTCTGACATGCATGTCTTCTTAACTGCCCAGCAGCCACTTCATCTCTGATCAGCATTCAATGAATGAGGAAAAGCCACCTCTCAGCAGATAGGGTTTTAATACATCTCCCTTTAACTTTACCAGTGTTAGACAAAATTGTTATATTCTCCACTGTAAGGTATTACTCAGAAGGAAGTTTGCAAGAAATACAAGTAAAATTGAGGAATCTCACAGAACTTTTCTTAAACTGTTTGAAACTGATGCCTGAATTATTGTATTATAGAAGCATTTACTATAAAGAGATAAATAAGTCCTTGAAAAAAATAGTCTTAATTGTATCACATTTCACAAATAATGCTAAATATGTCAAGATAAAGTGAAGCAATTTAATTGCACATATATACCACAGTATAGTAACAGAAACCAAAGTTTTAATTATCACATCTCTGCTTTTGACATTTTCTTCTCAACTTTTTTGTAAATACAAAGAAAGGGAAAATCTAATTATTTTCTTTACTGTATGTCATTTATCTTCAGAGACGCAAAGGCAAAAAAAGGTATTATGGCTTGTACTACATGTCTTCAAAAAATCCAAAGGATTTGTGTCAGCAGCTTCTCTTTAAGATGACTACTATCTCTCACTTCTGCTGTCCCAATAGTATAGGAATTTGGGGGCACAGGGAATTGGGGAGAGGAATTTAAAAAATTATCTCTAGTAATCGACAAAAAAGAACAATTATTGCTGTCAGGTTCATGGAATTCGTACCTTAACCCATCTAGACACTGATTTGAAAGATGGTTTTCCCTTCTGAGAAGAACGAGACAAAGAAATAAGTGCCTACACATTAGTAATGAAGAAAGAAAAAAAATCTTTCAAAACATATATAACAAAATAAAGTACAGACACAATCTGAAAGCCTCAGTATTAAAGTATCTGAAAACCTAAGTATTAAAAACCTAAATAAAAATATGAAGTTCCACTTCAATCACCCTGTTTTCAACATCCAGATAACCTCCAGGAAAATAGGTAGATCAAATTTCCTGGAAATCCACAGAGAAAACAGTATATGTGATGAAAATATAGTTGTGGATGTTGATTTTCCAAATCTTATGAGCTGGAGAACTCCTAGTCCTATTGTCTTCAAAATAAGCTTTCTCAGATATGTCTGTATCTTTCTTATTCTTTATCTCATATTCATGGTTACTGATTAGAGTTACAGGATGACATTACATGGCTAGATTAATAACTTGTGCCTTTCCCCTCTCATTTTTTTCCCATCAATAGCTTAAAAAAACTCCCAAACCACAAAACTGAAAGACAAGAAAATATGAATCACCACATTAAATAACTTAAGATAGGACAATCTTCCATAAAAAGAGCTGAAAGAGATATTTAGAGGACTAGGGGGAGCCAATGTTCCTTTCTGCATCAAAAACTCCCTTCTCTTTAGAGCAATGAAAGTTTCACATACTAGATCAAGCAAATACAACCTCTTGCTCCAAAATTTTATAAAGTGACTTCCCATTTGGTTAAAAAATAAACCATGCATAAGGGAACGTCAAAATAGCATATAATCTCAGATGGACTTTTAAATAGTCTGCATTCTTTTCAGCCAGCTCTGCTAGGAAAACCTTTAACCATTATCCAGGCTATTAGCATGGAAAACATTGTTTTGGAGACAGAAGTCCATCAGAAAGAATTCTGGTAGCTTAGAATGGCTGTCACGTTGCCAAAACAACATCTGGAAATTTGGAGCAAGTGATCCCTTTTCAGTAGGAGAGCAAGATGGGTTTTAGAGAACTAGATTCTTCTGAAGTGATTTTGAAGACAGAGATTCAGATGGAAGATAAGTTGCAGTCCAGCTCTGTGCCCTGTCACAGACAGCTATCCACCTGTATCTTACCCTCAGTAATGGAACATTAGGTTTGAAGAAGTTTAGCAGGTCAGTTTGAGTTAAGCCTGTTGACAGTGGCCATGGTCACTCTCAGATTAATTTCTACAAAATTTAGCTGTTCAAATTGCAGTTCAGTAAGGCACAATGTTGCTTCTGAGCTGTTCCCACTGTAAATGCAACTTGCCTAGGCAAAATAGACACAGAAGTTGCTACAAGGAAACCTTCCCAGAGAGAAGACTGCTTTGTACATCACCTTCTCCCTTTACATACCTTGCAGTGACACCACTGCAACATCAAATGGCATGGTGCCATCCAAAAGTTCCAAGATAAAGGGGAGGGCAGTACTTGAGTTACTGAGAACTCGGCACTCAACGTCTGCCCCTCACGCACCTTATTAACAAAGGTTCTAAGGAAATGTGCCTCTTGGGATGTTATTCCCGGAACAGGACCCCAGTCAAGCCAAGAAGAACGTGTTCTTTTAACAAGGAAGACTAGTCCTGTACGAGAGTACAATGTTACCAAAAAGAGGGCCCAGAAAGAAAAAACAGAATAATCAAACAATTATGCAAGAGGCTTCATGGAATGTAGCCTGAAAAGGTGGTGGCATGGCCTGGAAGGAACCAAGAAGCCCAACAAAGAAGTTTGTTGAACTGAAGTTTTTAAAGTACACAATCAACCTGACTGGTAAAAGGAATTGTTTCTAGTTCTTCAGGTCAAACAAACAAACAAAAATGAAAAAAAAAACCCAAAGCCAAAAACCCACTCAACAACATCCTAGAAATTTCAACAACTGAGCAAGGCAAATTTCAATATATAAAGAACCAAAAATGAGATGGTGTTCATTAATGAATGCTTTACAGATTGAGGAAGGTGACTCCTTCAATACTAT